TACCCTAACGCTAGTTTCTCCATTCCGCTCTGAAAAATTCCAATTTCCGCGAAGATCCGCGTGTGCGATGATGATATTTCCACTTAGAAGGTACGTTCTTCATAAGTGGCCGTCATTACGCGAGCCGGTTCACAAAAAATAAATCGTCGGGAGGAGCCGGCAATGAGGCGAATAAAGGAAAATGGCCGCATGCCGCGAAAAGGAAAGCGTCCGCTCTGGACACACGGCTACCAGTTTACATGTCAGCAGGGTTGGCTCGTAAACATTTTAAAAAATCCCGTGATAACTACCCCGGTAACAAATGGCAGAGTATAATAACGCTGACAGAATGTGGTTGGTGCTGATTGCGGAATGCTCGCGGGAAATGTAGCGCCTCGCGAGACACGCGTATGCGCCAGATAAGAAAAACGGTCGCGGTTAATTATTAGGGGTCGACCGCATTGCTCTGGCGCCGGTACGTCGTCAATAACACTGTAACTTGGGAAATTATAACTTGGCAAATTGCGGCCGGATATTGCGCTGCTGATTCTGACTATCGTCGCGTGACTCGGTTCATTGAGTTGTACGCAAATCCTACCCATCCTTCTCCCTGATTAACACTCTTATTACGGAATCGAAATATTGTTGTCATTTAGATTTTCAATGCATAAGCATGCAGGCTGATCCGTCACATCGACTTCTCAATAATTTTTCAATCGATATGGAATATATCTATAATATACTTTTAGAAAAGTTTAATCTTTCGATACCATTTAGAATTATGCTTGAACTTTTTCATTTATATTTAGATTATCCTTGAACTTTTTCATTTGCTAGGATCTCCTTAAAGAGATTGGAAATGATTGAAACTCTTTTATATTTATAAAAGCTATAGTGATTTCGAGCAATATTATCTCCTTGCACTCAGAACAGTTTTGATAGAAACATATTCACGTACAAATAAATGATACGTGCATAAAAAGAAAAGTCACAGATGTATTTTATTGTTTTTGTTTTTAATAAAAACCGTTCAATAAACCTAGCCAATAGGTTACAGATACAAATGTTATATTTAATGACAAAACTTCACAGTTTATGTCCGCTCCGGAGCTTTCGAGTGTAAATGGTTTCTATTGACTGAATAATCTCAAAATATAAATACATGAACCGTATAATTTAAAAAGTATACACAGTATTATGGTCATCATATTAAAAATATTTTATTTGACGAAAAGACATCTTGCGATATATACATACCTACATTTGCACACAATCATACACCAATTAAATCAATGATTCCTCAAAAATGTGCTAACGAGCGAGTATCAATTGCACACAAGAACACGCGAGCATGGCCTGGTGTCAAAGCATTAGAACAAATTTTTTCACATAAATTATCCTGATCACACAGCGAATCTGCATAAACATTGTCTGCCGGCTTGCCGATCGATAATCGCTGGTAAAAGGGAGTCATCGTCCCGTGGCAAATTCGATCTCGCGTATTTATAGCGTGCCGGTTACGAGACGAGCGCGAGAGAACTCGGGGAAAGAGCAAGAAAATGTAAATAACTCGTTGGAGGAAATTTCTTCAGAGGGAGATGGCGCTTTGATCTCTTTAAGAAAGCTCTCGCGCCATCGATACGCCATAAATTTAGTTAGATCCTGTTGCTGCCGGCGCGACGCAACCAACGACGCTCGGCCTGCCCGTAATAAAAGTACCGTCGCGTAAAAGCCAGATATTAGACGGTAAAGTGGCTCGAGAATCTCGCGTGACTTTCTCCCTCTCTTCCTCCCAATTGCTCCCGCCATCTCACGCGCCCTCCATCCCTGTCACTCCGCTTTTCCTTGATAACCGGACGTATTTTCCTCGATTGATCGTTTCGCGTGAGTTTCGCGGAGGCAATATGAAAGTTTCGCCTGAACATCCCCACCCCGTTCGCTGTCAACCCGTCCTCTCAGCCACCTTTCACCCCGTCATCATCCCCTATAGCCGCATGCTAATGCCGGAAAGACACTTCGACGTGCACGGCAGCGTGTCTGCGCGAACATGGCTGGCCCTGTTTGTGCGATTCCCTGAGAATTTTGGAGTCCTTGTGTCAAGATTATTAGCCCTTTAATGCACATGCCTGCGACACAAACGGGCAAGTTTAATCTGATAAGAATGGCGTTAGATCCTGCCAGCTAATTTCGGAGTGGGGGTGCACCGTGTTCTGCGGAAACTTTGGCTTTTGATGTTAGCATTAGGTTTACGAAACGAGTTGATTTCACCTGTATTGAATTTTATAATTTGTTTATTTGATAATGGAACAGCGAATCAGTTTTTATTTAACTAAGAAGATAAGTAAATATAACATCTGTTCGGTACTCCAGTGATCAGCAGGTAATGAGCAACTGCATTAACTTGTTTTATAAATATTGTCATCGAGATTGAGATCCGTTTCGTTTTTAATTGATTATAATTTGATCCAGTCGAATCCATAGATAGTTGTCATTGTCAATTCTATTTTTAATATAACTATTTGGTGGTAAATGTTTGGATCGATTTTAAATTGTCGTAGTTATGCAAATGTGTATATATCCTAATTGTCTACTGTTGAACGTCGAACTTCTAAGATCTAAGTGAACGAATATTAATTTTTCTATGAACGATAGAACACACTATAAATGTTCGTAAATCTAATGTTAATCGAATTGTACTGTTGGCGTGGTCGAAATCACGTTTTACTTTTCTATGTGGCGTTTATATTGTAACAAATGTTACAAATAGGTAAAGCGAAAGGCAGAAAGTTTGCGAATAAAATAAAATAAAAATGTTTCTTTTCATACACGATGTACAGTGAACAATCCTTTATGTAAATTGATATTCTCGGTATCTTCTAAAGTAATTTAAATTGATTAATAATTGCCTTTTTGCAAAGATGTTATCTGCTCATAAATTACATGCAGAATTTATTTGTCTTTCATGGTTTATTTAATACGCTCGTGAACATCGTCCGTGCGTAAGATCCGCAATCCAATGATTAATGTAGCTTATTTCCAGCGAGTTTCTTCGCCAACTTTCTGTAGGAAATATAAATTATCAATTACTTTTCGATCTCTCAGGGATTAGTACTGGTTGTGTAATCAACGATCTTAAATTTTAGAATAGTTGAACTGACGGAAGTATTCACTTTTTGTTTTAGAATATTTCTAGGTAGCGATAATAGCAACTTGTACGAACAAATCTTGTTCTTGTTAATGGGTTACATTAGCCGCTTGATACACGTTCGAGCATGCTTAATGAAACATTAACTTCAAATAAGGTGCCCGATATACTTATCTGATTTCTTTCATTACTGAGTTTCTTTGGCGTTCCAACTAGTTAATCGGTCTCTTAATCTTGAAATGATTTATTATGTATCATGATCGTTAGCTCAGTTGCCTTCCATGATTATCATAAGCAAGTGTGGCCAGTCATGAATAAATCAAGGATCCCGAGCGGTAACATGCACTTATCGCAGCAATTACAAGCAAACGGCGGGCATTTTTAAAAACGCACAGATTTATAGATCAGTTCGATGAAGCTCGGAGGAAATAGAAATTTCCTACAACATTAAATATTATACCTGAATCAAAACCGAATAAAATTCTCATAAATCCTTCTTAGCTCCTTTGCCACACTGAGAAGTCAGTTAAAAAGCAGCACGCAAAACTTCTCCAGCTTTTTCATCATACCGCTCTCTTCTTGTTTCGATGCTATTAATTTATCATTTTCCCTTTTCCTTGTGCTTTTATATTCTTTATTCACGCGCACAGTTCCGAGCAGTTTCTCATTCTCAACGAAACGAAGGCTCGAGTCAGTGGAATAACAATAATTTCAGACAGTTAAATGTAGCCGTGAGCGCGTAAAGTTCACGGCGTAATTACGAACGTGCTTCGCATCCGGGACATAGGGGTATACGACGAGAAAGTCGCAAACAAAACTATTAAAATTCGTAGAATAATATTCCGGCAAGTTTTTCTTCCCTTTTCTGAAGATAATCCGCGACGACGAAAGTCGCATAATTACGCTGAAATCTTTCTTAGCCCGGCGCAGCGCCAAAGTGAAACCGTGTCAAGCTCGGTTGAGGTATTCTTAAATATGAAACCTTCGTATTTCACGTAACAGGAGAATACGGAGAAAGCCCTCCAACTGGTTTGGCTCGGCGAAATGCATGGAGGAACGAATTTCAACTTCTGTTTTCTTTCTTCGCGTCGCCGTATTACACTCCGAGGCACAAAATGTTCGGAGATTCAAAATGTTTGAAAAGTGCGACTATTAAACTTCAGCGAATGCAAAAGCGGCAACTGGCAGCACAAAAACCTTATTGGCAGCGTTACGACCACGGAAATGTTGAAATAGAAACTCCCGGGAATGGCCGTTCGCGTGCCTTAACGCTTTCCAACGGCGCATTTAATTTTTAACTTAATCCCTTCTTGTTCTAATTAGTCATGAATATTTTTTTTTCATTTTTTTGGCGCAACCAGTAAGTTTTAAATACTTTTGTAGCTAAAAATTGTGGTTAAATGGAAGGTGTTCTTCGCGGCAGCCGTATTGTGAAACTATTTTCGCCACTTTCCTGAATTGTTATCGTACACTTATGAACCATTCTAGACAATCCACACGAATGAATATTACATATCTCCGACTTGCAATTTTTAACACTTTTATACAATATTAATATATCGACGACTCAAGTTTCGTGTTTTTCACATTAGTACTATTTGCTTTACCTTATTGTCATTAACAGTAATTAATTATTGCAAGTTAGAAGGACACTGAATCATAGATAAACAGCTACGTTTTTCAAAAATTAATTTGTAATAATTTCCCTGTTGTCAATTATGAAACAACCGACTGTCCAAACAATCAGATATATGTAAAAATAATTTTCTAATTGAAAATGGCGGTGCACCGAAACCGTTTGAATCGCGACCGCGGAAAGCATCGTCCTAAGAACATTCTGCTCCGCCGCCTATACACACCGCCCAAATGTTTGCAGTTTCGACACGAGAAGACAAAGCAACCTGGGACAAGGAAAACACTGGCAGGATAGCAGCCTAGACAAACGTGCCTTCTTCAGATACACCGAGCAGCCAGCGAAACTCACTGTCGAAAACGTCCGTGAGAGCGACGCCGCCGTTTACAGATGCAGGGTCGATTTCAAGCAGTCTCCAACCAGAAACAGCAAAGTCAATCTCACAGTCATCAGTAAGTGTCCGTTAGATCCACAGATATTTTCGATTTTTCTCTGTTCCATAATTTTGTCTCTATTTCATTTTTTATCCCTTTCTATATATTAACACATTGTTGACCGGCAATTTTACGCAGAAGCTATCCTATGTCACCGGTTATTATTCTGTAATTAAATATGAAAGTGAAACCATTTGAATAAACGTCAATATACTTTATTTATATATACTAGATTGAAATGAAACTTTGAGGTTTTATATAACTTTTAATATTTTACTTTTGCAATATTCTGTATTGTTCTATGATTCAAAAATAGAAATAGGCAATGCAAGTGCAAACACGAGTTTACTCGTGGCTGGTCAACAACGTTTGGGCATGAAAACATGAGTTAATTCGTGACCAGTTAACAGTGTAACAATGTTGACTGTCACGAACATTTTCAGTGTTTTGTACAATATAATATTACTTATTCTTCCGTAACAAAAGTAAATGATGTTAAAATCAGTTATTTGTGATTTGATATCATGGCTCTTAAATTACACTATTGTTTAGTTACTCATGTAACTAAATATTTTGATTTGTCAGCAGTTCTTTATGATAATTGTTTTCAAGCAATTTCGAAGTGGCAATCAATGTGTTAATGTTGGCAATATAATAAAGCGAGCGGGAGCTATACTTAATTCTCCGATGATTATATATAATTATTCTCCAATATTATTGGCGATTATGTATAACTTTCCGAGGGGTTATATATAATTTCCGAATAACCTCTATTGAGGTTTCTATTAATTTACAATTGTATTCGCATATTGCAAAAACAATTTATCTGATAATTTCTCAGAGAATCATGATACCTTTTCAATCATTATAAAAAGAGGAAATCAAGAATGGGTCATTTTAGCCTGTCTGATAGTTTCAGTGTTGTCATTCTATAGGTAATGTCGTTTCTTATCTTATATTTTTTATACCACTTTGGAAATGGCATTAGAAAATTAATTGAAAAATGGAGAAAGATCGTATAACGATGGTCAATATATGGACGATTAACACTAGGTTTACGGACATTTATTGTTCGATTTCTTCTACGGCTCTTAGAGAAATTCATGTTCGTTCATTCGGATTATGAAAAAGTTGGATGTGTAAAAATAGATAATTAAGGTACATATTGATGTAATTGCATCAATCAAAGTAGACGAAAACATTTTTCAAATATTGTTTATAGAATTTAATATGCGTCAAATCGACGCGTTTAATAAACCTAGTGTTAAATAAAACATAAGTATTAATATTTTTCACTATAAGTTAATATAAAAAGTGACATTATTTGTGGGACGATGTAATAAACTTTCAATATTTTTGTTTATCTATTTGGGCGCTAAAAAATTTGGAGTGTGCTGTGATTTTAAAATAAATGTAGAGCTCGGAGTATAACGTTAATAAAAATAGAAAATTTTTCTTTGTTATTTAAAACCTGGCTTAACAATCGTTTGAACTGAAAGGCAAACAGTCCGAATTTTTTAAATTATTTAAATTTAGAATTTTTAATATGAGCTTTGTAATATCAATTTGCCATTGACTGTTGACTTCTTCAAATTTAAAATTTATTTTTGAAAATGTAAGCAATAAAGTGTTTTTTAAAGTGTTCGAAACTGGTTATCGATCCGTTACTTTACTTCGGCTGTTGATTCGTTTAAAAAACGCAACTCATCTTAATTTGAAATTTTAACATCATTCGCTTCGTAGTTATAATAAGCATGAGGAATAAAAGCAAGCTATCATGCTATCTTGCAGTATAGCTTCCAGTTATAAATACGATATATGTTGACTCGTTAGTCACGGTTCATTAATTTATCGAAGACAAATCGAGGACTAGTTCATTTTCAAGTGAAAATAATATTCATGCTGTCTGAACATATACTCCTACGTTCTTGCCTGCTTGGATTATTGAAATGTTAGACTCTTGAAATCGTAGATCCTTGAACCTCGGACCCTTCAAAATCTAGTATTCGAGAAATGTTGAATCGTTATTGCTGCCACGAATCAAATTATCCAAAATAAACCAAAATGAACTTCCAAATGAAATCCTTCAAGCACTCAACATTGAAAGACTCCAAAAATCGGAGAATTCAAAATTTAATCATCCAAGAAACTTAAACGGTAATAATCACAACATTATTCGTGAATCTTAATTTTCAATTCCTATTTCCTTTTATTTAATTACTTTGAAATTCTTACATTAAATTGTACCATCTATAGGAATAAATATTTAATTCTAATCGTATTTTTAAGAATAATTCACATGTTTCCCCGGAAATAATATTTAAGGGTTGAACGTGTCCGCAGGATTTGTCCCCAGCCAAATTTGTTTTCCGGCATTCATTATTTCTCAAATCTCTTTTTCGTTATCTACTTCTCCTTACGTCTCTACAGATGCAATTTTTACATTCCTCGTTTCCAGGCCATTTCTTTTATCATCTTGCCAGGAGTTCCTTTGATCCTGTTTTCTTTTTTCTCTCCCTCTTGTATCCACGACCCAATGTGCACTCCATTCGTCCCTTGTGTCCGTCTGTTTCATTCTCCATTAATCTCTTCGTCCTCCCGTTTCCTATCCTTTGAACCTACTGCATCCATTACTTTCCCTTGACGTGATAATGCAATATTTTTAAATTTGCCTTTACTTAGTAATTTACTGTTACTTCCACCTCGCCGCACTCCTTCCCTGCAGTGCTCGCATCATTCCATTTCATTACGTCCCACCACCCGTTTCTTATTTTGCCCAAGATAAATATCCTTGATCCTTAATTACCCTTATAATAATAAAAAGATCCAGCGTTCACCTTATCTCGCTGTAATTTAAATTAAACGTATATACCTTCCCACCCATTTTACTACGTAAAAATGGCCTGGACGCTGAAGGGCACCAGCGAATATTCTCACAACACGTGCTTTTGATCTCCTTAAGAAAATATGTTAAACGCAAAAAATGCGTTTTCCTTCGTTGAAACATGTAAGAATTATGGATGTAATACTTTTGTTAATTTTTAAGAGAAACGTCTTGCAGTCTTACCTGAAAATATTCATAAAACCCGCGTGACTCTTCAATCCACTGTTTCATTTCTCCCGGTTCGCTCTCTCTGTTATTTCTTCGTTTCTTTATGCAAACACGGAGACAGCAGAAGATTCTACATATCCGAAAAGAAAGCAGACGAATAAGAAACGCCCATCCTTATTCTTGTCCGTTCGCTTACACACCATTTCTTGGGAAACCCGCCTGCACTTCCTTTCCTCTCCGCTATATTTATATTTCTTCTTTTTCCTGCGTCAGCTCTCATGCTCCTTTTCTGTTCCCCAGCGATTACACATTTTCCCAGCTGTCCGATGAAAAAATTCTATATAAATTGTACTTTTCCCTACGGTTATTTCCTTTCTTTCTCTCTTCCCCGTGTTTTCCTATTTGCACGCCGCGTCTTTCGCAAATAAAAAATGCAATATCCAATAGCCGCGAGTCTTAAAACTGAAAATCGCATTTCAGACTTGTTAACAATCTGTGGGTGGAAACAAATAACTTTGTCGAATGTTAGTTTTTCTTATTGCCCTCCTATTCACTCGTAACTGAGTATGTGAACTGCATTTTTTCACCGCGTGAAAGCAGACTCGAGTAAAATTTAGAAATTAAAGTATTCATATTTTCGCAATGAAATGCCGAACATCCAAAGTAAAGTAAAATCTCTCTTCTTATATTAATAGTTCTAATGATTTTAAATAAGTGTAGTTTTTTTCTGTGCTTCTTTAATAGCTCCATTAATATATAAATTCTCTAATTAAATGAAATGAGCAATTTAATTCTTTATTTTTCTTTGAAACATTGACTTCCTACTACCTGCTTTCCACTACTTTTTCCCATATACGACTTCTGCTCTGCTTTTTTTCCTTATTCCCGACATTTTCCTCTAGCTCTCTCTCTCTCTCTGTTTCTCCCATTAGCTACCGTTTTTTCTAATTCCTTCGACGTCTCCGATGTTCGCCATTTTCACTTCTCCGTCGGCCTCGTTCCACCCACCGTCTCTACCCCGTTCCCTGCCTCTCTAGGCCATCCTTTGACTTTCTCAGAGTTGATCGAGGCTTCCCGCGATTAGCTCGAACAAACAGAGAGTGGATTCAGTCTTCTTGACCCGGATGCACGGTTCGCCAAGCGACGATTAAGAGCAGTTTTATCTGAAAGTCGTCCGGGGAATCGGGGGAAACACGAAATTCGATCGGTAATCTAGATGCTGTCGGTCGACGTCCGCATCGCCGCGTGATACCGATAAGTAAATTCTCCGGGTCTCAGGTTTCTACCGCTCGAAATGATTCCGAAACTTTCTGCTTTTACAAGCAATTCGAAACGAGCGAATCTATCCACGGCGTCAGTAAGTATTAATATATTGAAACACGGAGCTGCTTTGTTCGAAGTAATTGATTTTAGTAATATTTTAGTAGAAAATGCTTCTTAGAAAACTATAAAAACATAGAAATAGTTTTTACTGTACTATGAAAATATGAAAATAATTTTTGCTGAACTATAGAAATATGAAAATAATTTTTATGAAACTATTCAATACACATTTCTTACAATCACAGAAGCTATTTAAAAGTATTAAAAAAAATTTCTTATCTACCTACAAAGTACAAATGAAAACAAGAAATATCCTGTCTAAAATTTCGTAATTAACGCTGATCCTACATTTTTACTGCTTTCATTTTAATTATTCAACATTGTGCCTTCACCTAAAACGCGAATCAAGGTGAATAATGTTCATGCAAAACATGTACAGATAAAATGTAACCCCAATTCTCGAAACGTCTTCCATCCCAAGCTTCCGACAACACCGCCAATAAATTTCCTTAAGGAAAACAAAATCCTCTGGAAATCGTCCCCGGATCGGTCCAAGGATCACCGGTGTCCCCTATCGACACGATCAATCCCACTCACGGGAGATTTAATCGGTCCGCGGTCCAAGAGGAACACCATCGTCCATTTCAATTCCGCTTGTCTAGCTCGAAAACAATTTGCATATCATAAGCGGCGGCGGGTTCTTAAGTGCGCCACCGTAGTGACGGTGATGGGGAAACGGCGGGGGCGGGGTAACGGCCAGCCAGATAAGAATACCAGCCAAAGTGTCTGGCGGATGACACACCGCGGTGGTAATTCATCGTCGTGCAAATTGATTCGCTCCGCGGAGCCAACCTTACCCACGGTCGTTC